GGGGACAAAGAGGGAGGAGGAGAGGGAGGGGGGGAGTGGGAGGGCGTTGGGAGGAGGGGCGTAAATGGAAACTTTTTATAATTTAATAAAATTACTAAAAAAAAAAAAGAGAAAAAAAAAAGATGGAGGTCTATGTCCAAATTATTTGTACTGCATGTAAATTTAGATGTGTTTCCATTACCATATGTTGAAAAAACCTACATTTTCTCAATAATATTGTCTTTGCTCTTTTGAAAAAGATTAGTTCCATCAAAAATTGCAGTTTTAGTCATAAAATTTCATATGTATTTTGTTATGTTTTCATTATAAGTGTATACAAATAGTAATGTGACTTTAATTTCATATCCCACATATTCTTGGCTGATATGAAAAGAAAAAATACAAGAGAAAAGAAAATTTTCCTTTAAAACAGTTTTCCTATTAGTTCAAGAACATTTTATTTCTTCATTCTTCAGGAATTTCTACAGAAATAATCTTGTCATCTGAGAATAAAGGCAGTCTTTATTTATAACTTCCCTATATATGTAACTTTTGTTTCCTATTTAAATTTGCTTTTCCTTCAAGAAAGCTGTAGAATAGGAGAGATGAGAAGGTAAATCTTGGCTTTGCTCCTGATCTTGGAAAAAGAGCATCAATTTTCTCAATATTATATGTCATATTTAAACATTTATATTTATTTTTTAACAAGACTGAGCAATTTTCCCTCTTTTCCTAGCTTACTGGGACATTTTACTCATGGTTGCATATTGGAATTGGTCAAACGCTTTCCTGTATTTGTTGATGATAGCAAATTTAGTCTCCTGGTGTAACATAATGTGTTAATTCACTTTAAATGGTAAGATATTTTGTCAAGCATGCAATAAATTCCAGTTGACTCTGTTACATAATTTCTTTCATAAGTTGCTGGATTTAATTTTCAATATTTTGTTTATGAGAGGTTTGCTTCTTATATAAAATTCTTTTCATGTAATGTCTTCATCAGCTTCTGGTAGTAGGCTAATACTGGCATCAAAGGATTAATTAAAAAATTCCCTCTCACTGTTTTCTGGAAGAGGCTGTTTTAAAAACTGGTATAGCGTTTTATATATTTGACATAATTCACCTGTGAAAACTGGCTCAGGTATTTTCAACTTTGTAAGATTATTTATTTTTAATGTCTGTAACATGATATATGTAGGTCTATTTTAAATTATATAATTTCATGCTTATTTTGCCTCTGTGCAGTAGATTTGATCAAAGCCCCCCCCCCCCACATATCTCCAGATGGAACTCTTATTCAATCTTGTCTAATCTTTCATGTATAACATTGGTCTTTTTTATCTTGACTAACACAATTGAGCAAAGTTATTTGCTCTTATTAATAAGATTGACCTTTCCCATTTCTTCCAATCATTTCCTCATTTCCATCTGGTATATCATACAGCTATCTACACTAGACATATTCCTATATATAATCATGACAAAATAAGTTTTCCAGATATTCTGTATAGTTCTTCTCTTAATCAGAGCCCTCACCAGAATTTTTCTTAATGCTTTCTTTGGGGTAATATAGGTTACTTCAAGTGTGTTCTTCAATATTCTTTCACCTTTTTTCTAATATCCACTTGCAACGATGTTTAACATTATACAATATTATGAAACATTCAACTGTCATAACAGTTCAGTTCTCTGTATCATTTTCTGTCTTGGTTTATTTCATGTTGTTATAACAAACTACCTGGGACTGAAAACTTACAACTAACTACTAATTACTAAATTTATTAATATTCAAATATCTGAATATTGGTAAGTCCAAGATCAACACACAAGTACTTAGAGAGAAGATTCTTTCTGTATCATCATATACAGAAGGCAAAAGGGAAAACAGGCAAGAGGGAGTTGAAATAATTCTATACTGATGTTAGTGCTACCAGTTGATATATGGATTGACTAGTGTGCTGCCTAGTTAATTGTTAACTTCACACAGCCTAGAATTGCAGGAGAAAGATATTCTTGAGAAACTTTCTAAATCATGCTGGCCTGTAGGTATGTCTATATGTGGCTGCCTTGTTTGTTAACTTGAATAGAAACACATCGCCCCCTGTGGGTGGTACCGCATGTTGGACTTGTCCTGAACCATATAAGATTGAAGAAAGGTGTCAAACAAGCATTTGGCAGTATAGATACATTTGTTTCCCTCTGCTCTCAATGTGATATGACTAGTTCTCATAAATTCTTCCCTCTTTGAATTCCCTGCACTGATAGAGTTGTCAGCTAAAATAAACTCTTATTCTCTAATTTTGTAAGTGTATTTTATCACAGCAACAGAAATGAAACAAGAATAGCTATAGAGTAGAAATGTTCAAAGGGAAGAACATAAAAAAAAGCATGAAGGAGTGTTGGGGAAAATAGACTATATCCTATAAAGCATACAGTTTCTAGACATGGGATCACTAATCGCATAATTGAGTTTCAGGTGAGAAGTCTCAGGCTCCAGTAATCCAGGAGAAGGACACTCAGGTTGATAGTTTCCGTATACAACATCAACATCAGAACAGAGGAAGACTTTGCCTCTGCTCTCTGAGCCTCATCAGCAGAAAACTGACACTTTTGTGGGTCTAAGGTATTGGAGTCCTTGACATTATAGTGCCTTGTCCACAATGCACATTCCTTTAGGATTTCATCTGCTCTTTACAACTCAGTCAATGATTCCTTTTTTTTTCTCAGAAAATAATCATTAGTCATACCCACCTGAGAATCTTAAAATCTGTGTTAATGGCCTGCTTGGCAAGGCATAATTTATAATGCGATAGTGATATTAATTTAACTGTAATTAATCACTTTTTGTTCAGATTTAATGTCTTGTCAATATGATACTCAAACCTGGTATGATTATTAGAATCTATGGTTAGACAAGTCATAGGACCCAGAGAACTTACTCCTATTGTTCTGCTAAGTGGATATAGTATCAGACTGACTCTTGATGACTTATTATTAGACCTATAGATTAGGTCTCTCAGGCTTCATCAGAGAGTATTCTTTTTATACCTGGAAGCATTAACAAAGAGACACAGAAGTTGTCAGGCTCAGAGAACAAGAGATTGTGGAGTTCTCAGTCTTAACTTGGACATCTGTATCATACCCACACCTTCTAAGGCTTAGGGATTCTTGTAGGAGATGAGGCAGAAAGAGTCAGAGGTTGTGGGTGACTACAAGAAAATAATGTTTTCTGAATATAACAGGGAAGGTGCATATACGAAATTACAACAGTTGTGACAACATGCACATGATTTACACAACCCAAGCATGACAAAATCCCACTATGGAGAGCACTGGTCGGCATAAAGTTCCAGTATTCGCTATGGAGGTATTGGTATTTCATAGATTTAGAAGAGTAAGAGTTAATTTTCTTTAAAGGTGTGACCCTTGATAGGTTGACCATGTTGCAGTGCATGGACACACACCCCTGAGTATATGGCCAATATAGATTAGACTTGCTGAGTTTGAGAAAAGGAAAAAAACCACAAAGTTGAGTCAATAGGGAAGGGAGGTGGGTCTAGGAAGAGTTGGTGGAAGTAGATAAATATGATCAAAACACATTGTATGAAATTCTAAAAATATCTGATAATTATTTATAAATGCAAAATAAGACAGTAGATTAAATGGAATATTGACTTAGATGTAAAGCATAAAACTCCAGTCTCTTAAAAAGCAAAATAGTATAATTTCTAGACTTTTCTGGAATAATTATAACAATTTAGAAACAAACCAAATTTATTAAAGCATTGATTGGTTAGTATTATAATTTGGTCTAAACTCCTGCCCCAAAGTAATATGCTAAGGGGATTAATAGCATTTTGTGCTTCTACTGGGAGATAAAGTAAGCCATAGGAAGTGGGGCCTAGTTGGAAGACACAGGTCATTCATAAGCAACCCTCTGATGGTGAATTCTGTTTTTCTGTCTCTTTGTCTGTCTGTCTGTGTATTTTGCTTAATAATGGGGCAATTATCTTTGCTCTGTCATCCATTTGCACTGTGGTGGTGTACCTTATCATAGTCATAGCGACCGAATCAGCTGACCATGAACTGAATTCCCAGATACTGTAAACAGCATCAACTTTCTTTCCTTTAAGTTGGTTTACTCAGGTATTTAGTCATAGTGAGAGAAAGCTGACTAGCACCTTTCAACTTCATAAAACAAGAAAATCTCTGCTCTGTGAAAGAGAAAACAAATGGAACAGGAAGCTGATAGACTCACAGAAAATATGCAATACCTAATCAAATATATTTAAAACCAGTAGCATGAAAATCGACACAGTTAAAGACTGGGTCAAAGACTCTATCAGGTTCTTTACTAAGAAAATTTGCAGATTGCCTATAGGGTTAGAATTTTTTTTTAATTTATTTATTTATTTATTAAAAGTTTCCACCTCTTCCTCGCCTCCCTTTTCCCTCCTGCTTCCCACCTCCCCCTCCCCTCCTCCTCCTCCCTCTCTAATCTTAAGAGCTGTCAGAGTTCCCTGACCCATGGGAAGTCTAAGGTCCTCCCTGCTCCATACAGGTCTATGAAGGTGAGCATCCAAACAAACCGGTTTTGAAAAAATATGCTGTGTCATTCTGGAAAAGCAAGCGAAATCAATCATGAAATATTACTGTTAATAAATTGAACAACGTGTGTTCCTGACAGCACTCAATACTTGTGAGAAACTGGAGCAAGTCACTTGAATTCAAATAGGCTAACACCCTTTATGAAGACTGGACTTTTGCAAAACTAAACTTTCATTATAGAATGAAGCAATCATATCCTTTGGTATTTCCAGAAAGAAGTTGAAAACTTATGTTCACAGAAACATCTGCCTACAGATTCATTGAAGATTTATCCATATTTGCTAACTATTATATGCTTGTATCTGAAATGTCCATAACAGAATCATGTGTCTGAACATATGTGCCCCATTTGGTGGCGCTGGTGGATGTGGAAACAGCTCTTAGCTCTTGTTAAGAAAACACTGACTTCACTTTTTGCCCACAAGGTAACTGAAGCAGGAAGAAAGCCTGACATCTCAAACCTTCATTTATGTCTGTAATTGGCCTGAAGGTACAGAGGTAAGTTACTGTCTTTAACATTTTCTCTTGAGAGATGTTGAATCCCAGAAGAGGAAAATCTAGAGGGATAAACTAATTACCTCTTATAGGAGGAGAACTTTTCGTGAGGGCTGGGCTCCTTTCTTTGTGATGGGTTAAAGATGAACAATTTAACAATTATAGGACCACCTTGCGGGGTGACCACCTTTTAGTTTCTGAGACATTGATGAATCCATGATGTGCAGAATCACACCAGACCAGCATGGTTCAATCTTGTATATGTTTTTCTCTTTCTTTGAATCTAAATCTCCCATGCCAATATTTTGGTGATAGATTTAGGGACCACTGGTTCCCTGTTTGTGTTCACTCAGTGTGGTCACATAGAGTAAATCTCCTCTCTCTCTCTCTCTCTCTCTCTCTCTCTCTCTCTCTCT